CACGTGGGAGACCTGAAAGGATGGGTGCAACTCCAGTTGTTGCGGCCACTGGGGAGTGAGCCATCAGATGGAAGACCTCTCTCTCTCTCTCTCTCTCTGCCTCTCCTCTCTCTGTGTAATTCTGACTTTCAAATAAATAAATAAATCTTTAAAAATTAAAAATAATTGTGTAGGGGTGGTTAATTTCATAGCAATGTTTTTTTTTTTCTGTGAATAATAACAATAAAAAACTTTTAAAAGCAGTATGGCATAGGATGATGCTAAATAAAAGAGAAAGCTAGTTTGAAGTAGATGTAAAAGAATATTGATTCCACAAGGATATGAGTAAGTGGCAGGCCAAGGAATCAGTAACAAAGAATAAATAATTTCTGTAACAAAATTAGCAAAAGTTAGAGTCATATTAAATTGCTTGTGTTAATATTTTTTGTGCACTTCCATGCAAATGTTAATAAGGAAGACTCAAATTAAGTGTTGATTGGGGCCTTGGGGAGACACAGCCTGCAGCGCAGAGTGAAACCGTGCCATAGCCACTGGGAGTTGTTGCCCATGTCATGGTCAGAAACTCTGTTTTAGTGTAATGGCCTCCCCACGGACCCTGATTCTAGAATCGTGCATGGCCAGTGACTGCCTCTGTTCAAGTAACTCCTGTCACTGAAATTCTCACATGGGCTCAAAAAACAGGTTGACCTTAAAGCTGCTCCCTGGGAGGCTGAGAATAGAATTTTTTTAATCTATGTTGGAGAAGTATATTTGGCAGCTGTGGGAAAGAGGGAATGTTCAAAAAAGTGTCACCACGGTTCAAGGTGGTTATGAATGACAGATGGCTAAAAATGATGGATAACTAAAAAAAGACATCATGAAAACTGGGGAATTAATACCGATTTAGAGTCAGATTTCCTCACCAATGCAACAAAATCTGTAAGTCAGTGGAAACTGAGGGACCAAGAATCCTTAGGAGTAGCCATCTTTGATGTTTATTTGGGTGAAAATGTGCTCAAAATTTAAAGGTTACTTTCATCAAACAAAACTCCCTCATTTCTTTAACTCAAATGGCATTGATTATATATTGCATCACTGATAAAATTCAAAGCAGACTTTTGTTAAAGAGCATGTCAAGTAAAATGGAAAGACATAATATCACTTCAAATATATCCATGGTTTTTCTGACTTGCAATTGCATCAGACTTTCAACTTCAGTGCCCACACTAGAGTTTGAATCTAAAGCGCCTCACTCTCAAGGGTTTAAGTTCTTCTGAATCAATGTTCTGAATGTAGGGATGACTCTTAATTTGTTCAAAGATTGGGACCTCCTCAGTACCTTTGACAACTACTCTATGCTTTGGAGGAATACAGAAGAGCTCTAGATATTTAGCTATATATGGATCTACTCCACTAAGAGCAGCTATGGTTTACTGTGGTTTCACTATTCTAGGTGTTGGACCTGTGAATATGAATGAAGTAAAGACCCTTCCCTCTTTTGGACCTTATACGCTACAGGATGTAAGACAGGGGTGAGCGGGAAGCTGGTGGAAGGGAGAAGACAGCCAATGAACAGACTTAGAAATAACAACAGGCCATAGTGGAGCCAGGCGCTCAAGGTCCACATCAACAGAGACAAGCCATGTTGCACGTGCGATCTCTTGATGTGATTTGATGAAAATGTCACTTTGCCTCTGCAGTCTTCCTCCCCTGAATCTATGCTTCTGGCCTAGTCATGACAAAAACGTGCCATGCAGTAAAATGGAGAAGCATCCTACAAAATACTCTGCTAATACTCCTACCAGTAATCAAAACAATGCAAAAGCCAGAGATTCTCATGTATCAGAGGTGCCTGTAGAGACATGTAATGCCAAGTCCTCAATGTGGTCCTGTATGAAGAAAAGGCATCAGATAAAACCCAAAGAAATCTGAGTAAAGAATGAACTTTAGTTAATGACAATGCATCAATGTTGGTTCATTAATTTTAATAAATAGATGATACCAATTAAGATGTTAATAAAAATGGGAAACTGAGTGTGGAGTATCTATGGTATTCTCTCTACTACCATAACAATTTTTCAGAAAATTAAAAAAAAATTCTAAAATAAAAGCTTCATTAGAAATAAACTCACTGACTATGAATAAATAAAAAATAAATATTAAAAAATAGAATACCACGAATTGCATGCTCTATGAAGCAAGTTAAGGGTATAGAACATGAGAAGAAGGGGGTGCTCAAGTAGCATGTTTGATGGAAGCCTCTGATCAGGAGACATTTATTTATGGGAAAAGCAGAAAGAGAAAGAGTGCCGAAGCCCTGGTTTACTATGCAAATGCCCACGACTGCCGGGACTGGGCTGAAGTGAAACTGAGAGAAGAAAACTCAGTCCAAGCCTCCCATGTGGGTGGCAGGAACCCCTTCACTTGAGCCATCACTGCTACCTCTCAGGGTCTGCCATAGCAGAAAGCTGGAGACAGGAGCTGGAAGCAGGAATCAAACACAAGCACTCAGATATGGGACACAATTGCCTCAACTGGTGACTTAACCACTGTGCCAAATGCCCACCCTGATCAGGAGACGTTTGAGAAGAGGATAAATGGAGTGGGAAGCAAGCAGTATGGCTACCGAAGGGAAAAATATTCAAAGGGGAGAGGAGTAAATCCAAATCCCTGAGATACAAAGGTGCTTGGAGTTTCAGCAAGGCTTGCATACAGTGTAACTGAGGGGCTGAGAGACGTCAGTGGGTACAACAGAAATGTGGGGTCTGTAGACCATGGTTAGCTTTTTCCTTCATGCTAAGTGGAATGAGAACCACCTACATGATCTATTTACATTTGCAAAGATTTTTTTTTCTGGTTTCCTGGACAGAACCAACTGCACGGGGAAAGAGTGGATTCACAGATACTCCAGGAGAGGCTCTCTTATTCGTGAACCTGAGAAAGGTGAGGGTGGTTTAGACCAGGACTGGGATGGGGAGAAGCAGTCAGATTTCAGATGTGCTTGAAGGCCAGGGTTTGAGACAGAAGATGAACTTCTAGAAAAATGCAAATGGCAGCTAAAAAACTGTCTGGGCATGGTCTTCAGGAGAAACAGTGATGGGAGGAAGATAGCGAGCCAAGGAAGTAAACAGGAGAGGCTTGGTTTACCTTCATCCCCAGGGATCCCTGGGGGACTGGTCTGGACCTCCACTGATACTGAACTTCATGGATGCTCAAGCGGCTTCTGGGAAACAGCATAGCATTTGCACATGAACTTGTATGTATTCCTGAGTGCTTGAAATTTCTCTAGATTACTTATAATGTCTGATTCAAAATGAATGGTATGCAAATGCTTCTATCATACTGTATAGGGGAGAATGGCAAGAGTCTACATGCTCAGTACAAGCACAATGGCTTTTTCCCAAAATACTTTTTTTTAAATCTGTGGTTGGTTTAATCCATGAATACATAGCCCAGGGATTTGGAAGTCCAGCTGTACTTTAAAGGACCTGAGAAGTGTCAGAGAGGAGAGAGGCAGAATGCTCTGGGGACAGCAATGCAGATTAAGGCTAACCAACTACTCATTTATGTTGAATAAGCATCATATGAGGTGTAGGAGGGAAAATCCCACTGCTTCATACGGCAATAGAGGAGGAATATCTTGGGGGAAAGCTTGGGTTTGTTTAGAGCAATAGAGTGAAAGGAATCTTCAGAGAAGAGAATTGCTACACAGAAGATTTTGCTGTTGAGAGTTGGTGATCCTTGGGGCAGGAGGATTTGTTGAGAGATTGAGTAATATTATGGGACAGAGAGAGCTCAGTGAAATTCTAAGATACTATGAGGCATATAATATGGTGAAATTGTTCCTAATGGTCTGTTAGGAGCAAAGGAAAACCCAGTTCTGATCATTTTCCTTTTCTGGGACTGGCCTCTCAGTCTCTTTAATAGTCACAATGCTTAATTGAATTATATGTCCTTCAGAATTAGAAAGCATCTACTGCAAGTTACTGAATGAACATCCATTCCCTGAGTCTTAGTCAATAATAATAAAAGAAAAAAAAACCTGTCCCACCAATGTACTAGCTATGAAATTTCAGCTACTTATTCAAGAGATCTGGAAATGCCCACTGACTATAACGCAGTTCTCATCTCTGCTCCTTTCTACATGGTTTTTCCTTTGTTTGTTTCTTTGTTTTTGGTTCTTAATCTGATTTTAAGATGTCATTGTCCTTCCTCGAAGACAGAAGTCTTTCATTTATACTCTTACACCAGAAATAATGGATCCTTGCCTGATCCAAGGGGTAGAAGATTTTTCTGTCTCCACCCTTCCTAGTAACATGAGGTTTTTGGGGCCGGTACTGTGGCGCAGTAGGTTAATCCTCCGTCTGCAGTGCCGGCATCCCATATGGGCGCTGGTTCTAGTCCTGGCTGCTTCTCTTCCAATCCAGCTCTCTGTTATGGCCTGGGAAAGCAGTGGAGGATGGCCCATGTCCTTGGGCCCCTGCACCTGTGTGGGAGATCCAGAAGAAGCTCCTGGCTCCTGGCTTCGGTTTGGCGCAGCTCCAGCCATTGCGGCCATTGGGGAGTGAATCAACGGAAGGAAGACCTTTCTCTCTGTTTCTACCTTTCACTGTCTGTAACCCTACCTCTCAAATAAATAAATAAAATCTTTTAAAAAATAATCTAGGCCGGCACCGCAGCTCAATAGGCTAATCCTCTGCCTTGCAGCGCCAGCACACCAGGTTCTAGTCCCGGTCGGGGCGCCGGATTCTGTCCCGGTTGCCCCTCTTCCAGGCCAGATCTCTACTGTGGCCCAGGAGTGCAGTGGAGGATGGCCCAGGTGCTTGGGCCCTGCACTCCATGGGAGACCTGGAGAAGCACCTGGCTCCTGGCTTTGGATCAGCGTGATGCGCCGGCCGTGGCGGCCGTTGGAGGGTGAACCAAGGGAAAAGGAAGACCTTTCTCTTTGTCTCTCTCTCTCACTGTCCAGTCTGCCTGTCAAAAAATAAAAAATATTAATCTAAGGTTTTTATTTTGCGTAGGAGGAGAGTGGAGAGTCCAGAGGTGTAGTCGACGTTTCACGCTCCTCCCCCAGCATTAGCGGAAAGCTTCCTGCCTGTCCTGCTGAAAGGTGCGTCAGTGGTCTCCTCCCTGCTCTGTTTCTCCTGTGAACCTGCTGGAGAGTCTACAAAGAGAGCTCACAGGTTGTTGAAAGCTTATTTTGTCTGAAATCCCAAATATTAAAAAATATGAAGGATTTATTTAAGAATCGGAGGGGAGAGAGAGCGAGAGAAAGAGAGAGCTCCCATCCTGTGGCTCACTACCCAAATGTCTGCGACAGCTGGGGCTGGGCCCAGGCCTAAGCTGGGATCAGGGAACTCAGTCCCAGTTCCCCAAGTGGGTGAGAGGAACCCAAATACTTGAGTGGCCAGCACTGTCTCCTAAGGGCTGCATTAGCAGGAAGTTGGAGTCAGGAGCTGGAAGTGGGTGTCACACTCAGGCGTTCCAATACAGATTGGGATGACTTAACTAGTTTCTAAGGCTAGGCCAAAGTGTGGCCCTTTGACCATTTTCACTGATCTATTAATACAGAGCTAGATTTATTTTTAAAAATAAAGATTTCTAGCTGATTTTTTCTTCTTTTAAATAGACAAATGATAATTGTGTGTATTTATGGGATCCTAAGTGATATTTTAACACATATATACATAGTGCAATGATCAAATCAAAGTAATTAACATATTTGTCATATCTTTGTGGTAAGAATATTTAAAATTCTTCTTTTTTGTTATTTTGAAATATACAATCCATTATTTTTCAGTAAATCACCTTGGTGTTATAGAACTATTTATTATTCTTGCTTCACTTTGTAACTGTTGACCAATATCTCTCATTCCCTGTCCACTTCTCTCTCCGCCAGTCTCTGGCAGCCACCATTCAACTCTCTACCTATATGACTTCAACTCTTTTAGATTCCATATACAAGTGAGATAATATAATATTTCTCTCTGTGCCAGACTTCTTTCACTTGACTTAAAGTCCTCTAGGTTCATCCATATTTTTGTGAATGACACATTTTTTTCCTTTTAAGGCTAAATAGCATCCTATTGCGTCTGTGTACCCAGTTTTAAAAATCAATTTCTCCATTGATGGATATACAGATTGTTTCCATATCTTGGCTATTGGAATAATATAAATTTCATTTCCTTTGCATATACCCAATAACAGGATAGCTGGATCATATGTTAACTGTGCTTTTAGTTTTAAAAGAAATTCAATACTGTTTTCCAAAATGGCCACAATAATTTACAATACCACCAACAATGTATAAAAATTCTTTTTTCTTTACATTGCCATCCTAAGCAATAGTTTATATCTTTCATCTTTCTTATAATAACAAGTATAAAATATGTGAAGTGATACTTTGTTGTGATTTTTTTAAGGTTTATTTATTTATTTGAAAGTCAGAGTTACAGAGAAGGTGAGGCAAAGAAAGAGAAAGAGATATCTTCCATCCACTGGTTCACTCCCCAAATGACTGAAGTGGTCAGAGGTAGGCCAATCTGAAGCCAGAAGTCAGGAGCTTCTTTCAGATCTTACACATAGGTGCAGGGGCCCAAGCACTTGGCCCATCCTCTGCTGTTTTCCCAGGTGAATTAGCAGGGAGTTGGTTCAGAAGTGGAGCAGCCAGGACTTGAACTGGCACCCATATGGGATACCAGTGCTGCAGCCAACAACTAAGCCACGGTGCTAGACACTGTTGTGGTTTTAATTATCATTCCTCTGATGATATAGAGATGCTGAACATTTATTTCATATCTTGATCATTTATGTCTTCTTTTGAAAGGTATCTATTTAAGTCATTTGCCCATTTAAAAATAAGATTATTTGTTTTCTTATCATTGTGTCATTTAAATTCCTTATATGCTTTTGAGAGTAGCCCCTGATACAATGTGTAATTTGCAAATATTTTATTCCATTTAGTGGGCTTTCTTTTTGCTTCATTCATTTGCTAAGCAGAAGTTTACTGTTTGATGCAGTTTATTTTGCTAATTTTTGCTTTCATTTCTTGTACTTTTAGGGTCATTTCCAAAAAATTGATCAGATAAATGTCATTGAAGTTTTCATTTATGTTTTCTACTAGTTTTGAAGTTTCAGGACTTCCATTTAAGATCTTAACCTATTTTGAGTTGATTCTTGAATAAGGGGTGAGGTAAGGATGTAGTTTTATTTTCCTGTATGTGAACATACAGGTTTCCTATTAACATTTAAAGAACAGACTGTCCTTTTCCCAATGTGTATTCTTAGTGCCTTTATAAAAAAATCAATTGACCAAAGGGTTTTGGCTGTATTTCTGGCCTATTTAACCCAATATATCTGTTTTTATGTCAATACCATCTTGTTTGATTACTATAGTTTTGTGATATATTCTGACATTGAGTAGACAATACCTCCAACTTTGTTTTTGTTTTTGTTCAAGATTGGAGTATTTGTGGACTTTCATGGTGCTATACAAATTTTACAGTTTTTTTCTTTTATTTATATGAAGAATGACATTGAAAATTTGATGCAGATTTCATTAAATCTGTAGCTTGCTTTGGGTAGCATGAACATTTTAACAGAATTGATTCTTTCAATCCATGGACATGGAGTATCTTGCCATTTATTTGAGACATTTTTAATTTCTTTCTTCAATATTTTGTACCTCATTATGATTATAATTTTCATTATACAGATACTTTACCGTTTTGGTTAAACCTCTCTAAGTAGATATTTTTGACACTATTAATAATGGAGTTGTTTTTTTTATTAGACAATTTTATTACTGTTAGCTTGTGTAGAAATGCTACTGATTTCCTCAAGTAAGTTTTGTATCCCACAACTTTATGAATCTGTTCATCAGTTCTAACAGTGTTTTGGAGAGGTCTGTAGAACTTTCTGTATCTAAAATCATATCAAGGGCAAAGATAATTTTTTAAGATGTTTATTTTATTTATTTGAAAGTCGGAGTTACAGAGAGAGGTTGGTCTTATATCCGCTGGTTCACTCCCCAGATGACAGCAACAGGCAGGACTGGGCAGGCCAAAGCCAGGAGCCAGGAGCTTCTTCCAGGTCTCCCACATGGGTGCAAAAACCCAAATACTTTGTCGAACTTCCACTGCTTTTCCAGGCCTATGCAGGGAGCTAGATTGGTTCCAGGCCTATGCAGGGAGCTAAATTGGAGTGGAACAGCCAGAACTTGATCCTGCACCCATATGGAATGCCGGCATCACAGGTCATGGCTTGACCCACTACACTACAATGCTGGCCCCACAAAGACAATTTTGATTCATCCTTTCTTATTTAGATGCATTTTATTCTTTTCCTTGTCTAATTTCTCTGGCTAGGACTTCCAGGACTGTACTGAACAGAAGAGTGGTCATCCCCATCTATTTTCATGGTTGATTATGATGTTAACTGTGAGTTGGTGATGTCTACTTTATGGTGTTGAAAGGTAAACCTTACAAAACCAATTTTTGAGAGTTTTTAATCATGAAAGATGTTGAATTTTGTCAGATGTTGGTTCTATGTCTATTAAGATGATAATGCGATTTTTGTCATTTATTCTATTCATAATTTTATTAATTTGTTCATGTTGAGCCAACCTTGGACTCAGGAATAAATCCCCTGCTCATGAAGAATGATGATTTATTGTACTATTGCAGGTTGGGTATAGTATTTCTTGAGGATTTTGGAATTGACCTATATATTAATGATATTAACCTGTAGTTTTCTTATGACATCTTTTCCTGTATTTGGTAGCAGGGTGATGGTGGACTCATAAAATGAGTTTGGAAGTATTCCCCCTTTCATTTTTCTTTTGGGGAGAGTTTGATGATGATTGATGTTTTTGCTTGATAGAATTCATCTTTGAAACCAAGTTTCCTGGGCTTCTCTTTGATGAGAGACTTTTAATTACTGATCTGATCTTGCCTTGCTACTCATCGATCTGCTGACTACAAGAGACAGATTTAAGATTTAAGACACAAACAGGTTGACTAGAAAAGCATGGGAAAAGGATATATCATTTGTCAGAGACTGAATATGTCTTCTCCAGATTCCAGTCATTGGAACTTAACAGATTGTATAATGATATTAAGGGATGGGGTCTTTAAGTGGTCATTAGGCCAAGAAGCCTCTTTCCTCTTCAGTGATATTAATACAATTAAAGATTTGCTTAGTATATATTTACTTGAAAGGAAGACTGACAGTGGCAGGGGGCAGGGCAGAGAGAGAAGGAGAGGTCTTCCATCTGCTAGCGCACTCCCCAAGTGGCTACAGCAGCTAGGCCTGGCCCAGACTGAAGCCAGGAGCCACAGGAGCCTGGGTCTCCCACATGGGTAGCAGGTGTTTAAGTATTTGGGCCTTTATCCACTGGCGCCACAGGCATGTTAGCAGTAACCTGGATTGGAAGCAGAATATCTAGTACTAGAATTGGCACTCTGATAAGAGATGTGGTGTCATGAGCCGAGACTTCACCAGCTGTGGCAAAATGCTGGTAAGGCGCTTATGAAAGAGGCCTTGCATAATGTTTTCTCTCTTGCTCGTCTACCGTCTGTTGTGTGACTGACAACAAAACTCCTGACAGACATCAGATTCTGGGGCTTTGGTCTTGGACATTGCAGCCTACAGAATTATGAGGAAACTCTGCTCTTTACAAATTACCCAGTTTTGAGTATCTTCTGATAATAGCACAGACTAAGACACTCTTTAAGTAGCAATCAAAAGAGAGTTGAAGCAGATAAATTAATATCAACCATAATAGACTTTAAGTGAAACATTGTTACTATTAAAAACTAGTACTCCACAACAAAAGGGCCACCAAATCAATAAGATTTGCAAATTTTAATCACAGATGAATCCGACAATTGAGCCCAAGATTACCTGAAGGAAAAACTGGAATTCTTGAAGGAAGAAGTAGAAAACTGAACAACAGAATTGGAGTCTTCAATATCCCACCTCCAACAATGGATGGAAAAATAGACATTAAATTAATAAAGATGTAGAAGACTTGAATGAGTGCACTTTAAATATTCTTCAAGACAAACCATAAGGAAATGTATAAAGCAGTTAATTAAAATTTTAAAATTT